CCCCCCCCCCCAATCAAGTGCCCATTTAGGGAGAGGAAAATTAACGTCCAGAACTGGGCAGTTCTTTGTCCTGAATATTGGACTCTTGGCAAAAGTTACCTCCCTTTCCTGTCACCAAACCCAGCCACCAACTGAAGTGATAGCCACTTCTCCCATCCTTCCTACGTCTGTCCCTCCACCCAGGCTCTGAAGAACTTCTTTCCTGCAGCTGTCTGTGAATCTTTTGTACCATTCATTTCTCCTTCACTGTTGACTCATGCAGATTCATGTACAAACATGGCTTAATATCCTCTTAAAAAAATCAGAGCTCTTCTGGCACCTGGGTGGCAGAGTGAGTTAAGTGTCCTACTCTTGATTTCCGCTCAGGTCATGATCTCATGGTTGGTGAGTTCGAGCCCTGCGTCAGGCTCTGCATTGACAGTGTTGAGCCTGCTTGGGATTCTCTCTCCCTCTCTCTCTCTTCCCCTTCCCTGCTCATGCTCTCTCCCTCTCTCTCTCAAAATAAATAAATGAACATTAAAAAAAAAAAGCAGAGCCCTTCCTTCAGCCCATGTCTGCCTTGGATTATCACCCCATTTCTTTCTACCCTTTCAAAGCTAAGTTTCTGTTTATACACCCTATCTCTGTTGACTTACTTCCAAGTCCCTTTCTGCCCAGTTTAATGGTGATTCTGTTCCCCCTAGTTCATTGAAACAGGTCCTAACAAAGACACCAGGACCTTCATTTCAACACATTTAGAGATCTCGTCTCCATCCTCATTGGCCTGTCAACCTCATGACACTACTCACCTTTGCCTCCTTTTCCAAGCTCTTCTCAGGGTCTCTGAGATGCACACCCTTCGGCTGTGCTTTGATCACACTCGTCCTTCAGGCTCTTTTGCTGACTGTCCTCTGTTCTACTTTTAACTGTCACAGTCCTCAGGGCATGGTCTTTGGTCTTTGACACATACCTTATCCCATTAATCCCAGGATGTGTGTATTCCCAGGCTTCTCTTCCATCTCAGGATTTTAGAATCAGAAGACATCTTACCATCACTGTGCCTTAAGACCATTTTTGGCAGAAAAGAGTTGTGGGATATCTGTCCCTGCCTACCCTGCACCACATTTATAGAATAGGTGCCAGCAGCTTGGAAGCAAACCCCAGAGACAATACTGATGCACTCTTTTCCCTAGGAACCAAATGATTGTGGGGACAAAGAGTATCCGAGGTGACTCCAAAGCAGGAGTCAAAGGCGCATGGGGCGCCAGGTGGCTCAGCCAGTTAAGCATCCGTTTCTTGATTTCGGCTCAGGTCATAATCTCCCAATTCGTGGGATCCAGCCCCGTGTGGGGCTCCTCACTGACAGCACGGAGCCTGCTTGGGATTCTCTCTTTCTCCCTCTCTCTCTGATCCTCCCCTGCTTTCACACTTGCGCACATACACTCTATCTCTCCCTCTCTCTCAAAATAAGCATTTTAAAAAAAAGTACAGTATGTGTTGTGGCCTGAATCTTTGTGTTCCTCCCAGGCATATGTTGAAGCCCTAACCCCCAGTATGATGGAGGGTATTTGGAGGTGAGGCCTTTGGGAAGCGATTAGGTTTAGATGAGGTCATAAGGGTGGGACCCTCTTGATGGGATTAGTACCCTTATAAGAGGAAGAAGACAGATACCTCTCTCCTTGAGGAAAGGCCATGTGAAGTCACGACAAGATGACAGATATCTACAAGTCAGTAAGTGCGCTCTCATCCGAACCCAAATCCGCTGGCACCTTGATCTTGGAGTTCCCAGCCTCCAGAATGGGAGAAATAAATGTCTGTTGCTTAAGCCCCCCGGTCTGTGATATTTGGTTATAGCAGCCCAAGCCGACTAAGATAGTATGCTAGCACTAAAGCTGAACATACACAAATCCTATGGTCCGGCAACTCCACTCGTGGATACATACACCAAAAAGCATGCACAAGAATGTTTACCACTGCGTTCATTGTAATAGTCTCAAACTGGAAAAAAACCAATGCCCACAACAGTACAATAGATTGAGCAAAATGGAAAGAATAAGTTATCGCTATACAACAATGCGAATGAATCTCAAAAACTTAACACTGAATAAAAGAAGCCAGTTTCAAAAAAGGACATATTGTATGATTCCATTTATATAAAGGTACACAAATAGGCACACTAATCCATGGAGTCAAAACCCAGGAGACTAGTTATCTTTGGAGGATAATGACAAGAGGGGGCAAGAGGTAGCTACTGAGGTCCTAGTAATGTTCTTTTTTTTAATGTTTATTTTTTTGAGAGAGAGCACATTAGAGTGGGGGGGGAGCAGACAGGGAGAGGGGGACAAAGGATCTGAAGCGGACTCTGCACTGACAGCAGAGAGCCTGATGTGGGGCTGGAACTCACTAACTGTGAGATCATGACCTGAGCCGGAGTCAGACGCTTAACTCACTGAGCCACCCAGGCACCCCATTTTATTTATTTTTGAGAGAGAGAGCACAAGCAGGGGAAGGGCAGAGAGATTGGAGACAGAGGATCCAAAGTGGGCTCTGTGCTGGCAGCAGTAAGCCCTATGTGGGACTCGAACTCATGAACCACGAGATCATGACCTGAGCTGAAGTCAGAGGCTTAACCAACTGAGCCAGGCGCCCCCTATAGTAATATTCTTTTTCTTCGTCTGGGTAGTGGGTACGTAGGTTTGTTAATAATTTAGTTATTTATTAATAATTTTATTATTATTACTATTTTACATGGGGAAGTTGAGTAGAGTTTAATAAGTTTTTTTTTTATTTTTTTTTCAACGTTTATTTATTTTTGGGACAGAGAGAGACAGAGCATGAACGGGGGAGGGGCAGAGAGAGAGGGAGACACAGAATCAGAAACAGGCTCCAGGCTCTGAGCCATCAGCCCAGAGCCCGACGCGGGGCTCGAACTCACAGACCGTGAGATCGTAACCTGGCTGAAGTCGGACGCCTAACCGACTGCGCCACCCAGGCGCCCCGAGTTTAATAAGTTTTTTACAAAGATACAAACAGGTTTAGGGAAACCAATAAAGGATAATGCAGTACTC